CCATACCAGGTTTATTACAAGATGTCGTACAACCGAATTACAAAACAACTCTGGTCAGAGACTTGTTTAATCACTGATAGTGTACCAGTTACACACATAGTATGCGCGACATTATACAGGAGTCTTTCGGAGTCGAAGAATAACATTACGCGCGGGTCAAATGTTAATACGGATACCGATGTCTAGTTGATTTATCCAGTCTGCATCTTAAGATTTAAGCAGAACCATGTTTAGACCAAACAGTACATTGAACAATCGGTATTTTATCTAGTTTCATGAACTTTTGAAGTCTAAAAAATGTCGCTGCATATCAGGAACGTTTTCATCTAATTGAAACTGTCGACAACTGGAAACTTCAAGAAGTTGTTACTTCAGTCTATCACGTAGGTCGAGCGAGACATAGTCAAATACAGTTGAATAATATAGGAGAAGTAGTATTACATAACACACAAGAAATTGTACCAATCTTAGAACACAATACGAAATATAAATGACCATTGTCATATAACATGTCCGAATCGAAGACACACTATGTAGTTCTAAGTGTAATGAACGCAACTTAGGTTAATAAACATGTAACAAAAGGTAAAAATTTTAATAGAATGAAACAAATACAATATCTTAGCCTTAAGGAAGTAGCAGGGTGTTTTCTGTAAAATGCAACATTCTCGTTTCATATCTCCTGCTTCTTTTATTTTGTTGATGCATAATTTTGGGCGCGAGCGTGTCGTATCATAAAAATTTATGTTTTACTAGTGTTAAATGTCTTCATGTGTAAGTCATCATTACGTTGGTTCTGTGACTTAGTTAGGTTATAGATCGGATACACTCTTTGACACCTGTTTGATTTGAGTCTAAGAACTAAGAATTAAGACATCTCCCCAAACGAAGTAAATAAGAACTACATCAACGAAGAACAACGGCCATTTCCATCTATTTCTAACCGTCTTTTGCGAGTCGAGATATTTACTTGACAGGAGAGGGCCGGGGCAGTGGCCAGCGACGTGTCACTGGGCGTCCATAAGTAAATGGTAGTCGATCGATATTTCTACCGCTGCACCACGACCTCATAATTCCGAAGTCGGCCCCTGAGGCTCGGGCTTCGGCGGGCCACAGTAGTCTGTCCGTCTCCGTTGGACGTCTTCGCAGAGGAACGCTCGGTTTAGTTTTCCTTTGACGTCGGCCAGCAAATCGTTTCTCATTAGTTACTCCTCTACCCAACACTGTCGATTACATCGCGATACTGATTAGATCAAATATACTTACATTGATGTTTTTTAACATCATTTGGTTCCCATACCTGAGGATCAGATACAGTGGGGCAAAAACGTATTTAGTCAGCCACCAATTGTGCAAGTTCTCCCACTTAAAAAGATGAGAGGCCTTTAATTTTCATCCTAGGTATACCTCAACTATGAGAGACAAAATGAGAAAAAAGAAAATCAAGAAAATCACATTGTCTGATTTTTAAAGAATTTATTTGCAAATTATGGTGGAAAATAAGTATTTGGTCACCTACAAACAAACAAGATTTCTGGCTCTCACAGACCTGTAACTTCTTCTTTAAGAGCCTCCTCTGTCCTCCACTTGTTAACTGTATTAATGGCACCTGTTTGAACTCGTTATCAGTATAAAAGACACCTGTCCACAACCTCAAACAGTCACACTCCAAACTCCACTATGGCCAAGACCAAAGAGCTGTCAAAGGACACCAGACACAAAATTGTAGACCTGCACCAGGCTGGGAAGACTGAATCTGCAATAGGTAAGCAGCTTGGTGTGAAGAAATCAACTGTGGGAGCAATTATTAGAAAATGGAAGACATACAAGACCACTGATAATCTCCCTCGATCTGGGGCTCCACGCAAGATCTCACCCCGTGGGGTCAAAATGTCACAAGAACGGTGAGCAAAAATCCCAGAACCACACGGGGGGACCTAGTCAATGACCTGCAGAGAGCTGGGACCAAAGTAACAAAGGCTACCATCAGTAACACACTACGCCGCCAGGGACTCAAATCCTGCAGTGCCAGACGTGTCCCCCTGCTTAAGCCAGTACATGTCCAGGCCCGTCTGAAGTTTGCTAGAGAGCATTTAGATGATCCAGAAGAGGATTGGGAGAATGTCATATGGTCAGATGAAACCAAAATAGAACTTTTTGGTAAAAACTCAACTAGACGTGTTTGGAGGAGAAAGAACGCTGAGTTGCATCCAAAGAACACCATACCTACTGTGAAACATGGGGGTGGAAACATCATGCTTTGGGGCTGTTTTTCTGCAAAGGGACCAGGACGACTGATCCGTGTAAAGGAAAGAATGAATGGGGCCATGTATCGTGAGATTTTGAGTGACAACCTCCTTCCATCAGCAAGGGCATTGAAGATGAAACGTGGCTGGGTCTTTCAGCATGACAATGATCCCAAACACACCACCCGGGCAACGAAGGAGTGGCTTCGTAAGAAGCATTTCAAGGTCCTGGAGTGGCCTAGCCAGTCTCCAGATCTCAACCCCATAGAAAATCTTTGGAGGGAGTTGAAAGTCTGTGTTGCCCAGCGACAGCCCCAAAACATCACTGCTCTAGAGGAGATCTGCATGGAGGAATGTGCCAAACTACCAACAACAGTGTGTGAAAACCTTGTGAAGACTTACAGAAAACGTTTGACCTCTGTCATTGCCAACAAAGGGTATATATCAAAGTATTGAGATGAACTTTTGTTATTGACCAAATACTTATTTTCCACTATAATTGGCAAATAAAGTCTTTAAAAATCAGACAATGTGATTTTCTGGATTTTTTTTCTTCTCATTTTGTCTCTCATAGTTGAGGTATACCTAGGATGAAAATTACAGGCCTCTCTCATCTTTTTAAGTGGGAGAACTTGCACAATTGGTGGCTGACTAAATACTTGTTTGCCCCACTGTATATGAATACACAGATTGAGCTTGTTTAGTGATAAAATATCTATCTTTTATTGTATTTTAAACAAATACTAAATACTTGTTTTTTTTTCACCCAGGCAGCAGGAGCTATCCGACCTCTCGTTTCCACGGTGATAGCCACCACATCAGAGGGCTACCTGGACCATTCTCTCGAGCGAGGAAAGTACAGAGCCAGTGAGATGCCTCAGGGATTCACATATGATGTCATCTATCAAGCCTATCAGAAGGTAGAGTCTGTCATTTCATTCACATTTAACACATACCAGGGTGTTCATCTGTTATTAACGTGGGTACAATAACGTTAAGATGATGACAACAATTAGTGTAAACGGGATAAGAAAGAAAAAGAAACACAATGAGGACATGCCATTAAAAGGTGCAATGTCTAATACCTGGCCAAATGCTCCAAACTAATAGGAGGCAGCATTCTCATCTACTATTGGATCCATACAATACAAGAGTATATTACATTTAAACCAAATTGCTGAAACTTTTACCTTGCTGTGTGGTGTCCGCACATAGTTTATGTTAGCCATGTGTGCTGCTACAAAGAGGGATAAGTTTTGATATTTTGTTTATTGGACTAAATCCAAACTGGCAGAAGCAAGAAAACAGAGGCAGTGCTGAACTGGCGGGGAGATCAGGCACTGCCCGGGAATAAAAGAAAGTCCTGGCTGATTTTATCACGGCCCAAACTGAAGGTCCGTTTCCTGAGGCTGTGATACATATTCCTCCTGGCGATGTAGTCTGCCCGTAGCATCATTTTCTTGTTTTTGCAACTTTGAATTTTATCCAATAAACAATATATGAAAGTACAGTATACACTGTTCCCTGTGACCTCTTCACGTTCTGTTAATGATTGATTGAATGTTTTAAAAAATGAGAAAGCTAATACAATTGATTTTCCCTTATTTTATTGCAGTTACGTGCTGTCCTCAGTTTATTTTACTATTAGTACTTTGGACAATAAAACAATCTCATATTCATCAATTACCAGGGGAAGAGCACATTGGTCACATTTATCCATTCATGTAAATCCTTTATTACTGTTTTGTTTTGTTGTTGTTAAATTGAAGAGAGCTGTTGTATTCATTCTGTGCAACTGAAGAAGTTAGGCAGCACACTACGATTCTGAGTGGATTTCTGCAACTGCTATATATTTGCAAAATCAACACATAATATCACAGGTTGGAAAAATCCTGTTCTGCAGCGTTTTACCCACTCCTAAATTATTGCAGAAAAAATTGTTTTTAATCTTATGAAATAACAGTCACATTGAGATGTATGCTCTAAAAAATTACACCATTTGGATAACAAAGGATTTAATGGTTCTCATACATCATAACAGGCCTTCACAGTCCCTCATTGTTCAGCCGATGTGCCAGAACCTGCAGGGTTTCCCTCTAAAAAGCTTGTGGCGTGGGTGCTATCATTTTCTCTTGGCCTCTGCTGCGTCTGGGAGAGAAAATTACACGTTCATATTTTTCGCCACACTCCAGCAGATTAGTCTGTGGAACAAACGTGAACAAAGGCTAAGTTGGAAAAATGGAGAAAGAGCCCTGAAAATACATGGCACATTTAGGTGGAGTTGGATTAATGGTCTCAGCAGTTGAGTGAGTTTTAATATGTATACCTGAAAAATGGAAATAATTTATCCGCTGACGTAAACTGTAAATGCGTTGATAATTTTCTGAAAGCAGGGGCTTATTGCTGAGACTTGGCAGGCTAATGCACGCAAACCTAATATTAAAACTAAAATTGTAGAAGTTGGCCTTATTTATTTGAGCTTGCTATTTCAAGCTGCTTGACTTCATTAGATGGATATTGCGATAGCCACGTCTCTGACCTGACGCAGCAAATGTTGAGCCAAGAGCTAAAACAGGCCTCAAGTTTCTTTTTTTACTATGTGTAGATTGCTTTGGAAGCTCCCATGGATTTGATATAATAATATATTGAGCTCTCATAAATGCTGGTCTGGTTGCAAAAATTAGGACAAACTAGGGGGGTGACAAGGGACCCCCTCTCTCTCTCCCTTTTGCTCTCCTGATAGTCAACCTTTAAAAAAAATAGAAAAAGTGTCAGGTTTGGACTGTAGGACAAGCTCATGAAAAATCTCTGGGAGCTGCACATTTGTAGCTTGACATCTTTTGAGAGCAGAAGAACTTAGCACTGAAAAGACAAAGGGGGAGACACTTTATCCGGTCCCCAGTGAAAGCTTTTGTACCAGGAGATAATGCTAAAGGTAAAATTACCCCACGACGGAGAGCGTATTCCTGCTGTTATTTCTCTCTTCGGTTCCAGCGTACATGGCATAAAAGACCCCTCTCAGTTATACCTTGATAAAACATTACCCAGCTATAATCTCAGGTAGCATGGATTTGTTTTAGCAGTCTTGTGGACTGAAATAAACTAAATTAGCTCATTGCCTCCAAACTTCCCCCTGATCTAAACCAGCTTAGTTTTCCTAGCTGTGAGTAAAAGCACAAATACCAAGTTCACTGGTACATGGATTAATCTTTTTTAAACATTAAATAAAGGCCTGAAAACTCAAATTATTATTATTATTATTATATGGATTATTGTACCCTGAAAAAGCAAAGGTATACATTATTTTCCAACTTCTGTCCCAGATTCTGCATTAACATGCACCTCAAGATTTGCAGTCACCTGAAATACATTCTAATCAGTTCTAATAGACTTTAATTTCTCTTGGCTCACAAATACATTTTTCATCCTTTATTTATTTATTTTTTGTATTGACTTTCCGTGCATTAGGACAGAACTACCCTTCCTCCCGTTTGTAGCACATGCAGCTACAGTCACGCATGTCTTTGTGTAACGGGTTACACATTATTTGAGCTGTTTTGTGCTCAAAAGCATCACATTTTCATGTGTAGCATTCCCTTTGAATGAAATTGACTAGAGCCACATGTTTCTTACCTAATAATGAGCATTGGAACAATAACTTGAACAAGGGAAAATAAGGCACTAGATCAAGAATGTCACATCTGTGCTGTGGAATAGGTGCAGTGAAGTTAAAGACCATTTTACAAGTTGCTGCTTTTAGGATAAAATGTGTTAAACTACTATACTGTATGTTTGGAAATGTTTTTCAGCATCCAACACAAATACATTCCTATGGGTAAAACTGTTAGCCTTTAGATTGAGAAGTGAACAAGAATCAAGTGACCCACCAGGCTGTGGGAAACATTTGTCCATTTCTAGCATATGTAGGAAAAACATTGTGTAGCATCCAGAGTTATAGAAAAAAGAACTTGCAGAATAATGTCAGAAAAGCTCTTATAACCTGATACAAACAAATTCAGAGAGATAAGATATTTTAACAGTCCATTTGCCAAAGGAAACCATATCGCCTGAAGTGTCTGCTGAAAAATGTGGTGCTGCAGTATCATCCTATGAGCCTGTTTCTGTTCAGACAGCAGCTGCATTCTCGATACAGAGTATGAAAGGTTTTGGACATATTGAGTGAAACATTTGCAGTAAGTTAAAGAAGAATTTGAGAACTCTCAAGGCGACGACAATATGTTGCACAGAACCCCGTCACCTCAGGATTGTCTGGACAAAAGAGTTTTCTCTAACAACTGGTTAATCAGACAGCAGGTCATATTGTCTGCATTCTTGTAAATAACAATGTTAGGCAATAGTTAAAAGCAGGTGTTTTAAGTTGACTTTTTGGCCTCTTCTGAATGGCGATGCTTGTTGAAAGCTTCGGTGCTGAGGCACAATTGCACCAATCTGTCAAACTGGCACCTAATTTGAATGTTACATTTCTTACAATGAATTAACTGTTCAATTTTGTATCATTTCCACATGTACATGTAGACACTTACAAATCTAAGTTGCAGACAGGTTTGAAGTTAAGCAAGGACATCCACATTTAATTTAGGTTATTTCCTGGGTTGTTCCCTTGCAGCGCCCACAGATCAAAAACTCAATCTCAAGATATTATTATCCATTCAGCTTCGATTGCCAAGAAATGATAGTACAACATTCAATTTCCCAAGTAAAGGACATGTTCCTCAGAGCATTATTCCCACTCACTTCAACAATCCACTGACTTTTAGTCTATCGCCACCATGAGGTTCACATTTGTGGTTTTGAGGGGAATGTCTTGCCAACTGTTGGATGGATTGCCTTTAAATGTGTTGAAGACATTCACGGTCTTCACAGGGTGAATTGAAATAACTTAATAATCGCCATACTTTCCTCTAGTGCCTTTTCAGATTAAGATCACTTATCCTTCTCGTCAGCCTCAGCTGTGATAAGTGCTAAAAAGCAAATGTTAGATTTGTACCACACGTAAGTGAGACTAAACAGCAGCATGTGTTTAGCCTCGCAGAACGAGCGTGTTAAATATCAGTCTTTTTAGTTAATTGAATCTAGCCTAACAATTGTTTTCACCTTCCAGTCTATTAAGAATAACATCGAGAATATATCCATCTATGTGTACAATTCTGACATCTATTCTTAAATACAAAGTGTATTATTCTACCATAGATTCTCAATACATCTGTCAATGAGTTTGTTTATCTAACCAGGCTTCATTTGGTTGCAGCCTGTGGTGCAGTTCCAACACTGCAGTGGTACAACATGGTTTACCACAGTTTCACAGAGTGTGATGGAAATGTTTTGTTGTCAACAATAGTCCACAGCTGCTCTTCTCTGTTGTGTCCTTCTGCAGTGCAGTGAGTCAGACTTTGAGTTCGGCACCGAGTGTCTCCATCTGGCTCTGCAGTACTGTGGCACCAAGGCAAAGCTCATCCAGGGCCCGCCAACACTGTGGAAGGTGAGCTCTCCAGGGGGGTTGGGGATTGTTGATTTGGTGACATTTTGGTCCATGACAGATATATTCTCACCTACTTGAAATACTTTTTGGTTAAGGAGATCAGTGCAGGAGGTTTTAGCTTTTAATTAGGTTTTCTAGTTGTTTTTCCCCCCAAACATATAGTCCATTATAAACTGAGCTTTAGAGTGAAAGAGCAGCATTATTTTTCGTGACTTAAAGCAAGAAATGGCACTTGCAGGGGATAAAGAAAATATAGTTTTTCCTGCCATACCTCCCCTTGCCTGCCACCAATCTTGCACCTCACTCCTATTATTAACCAAAGCTAGGCAACCATGCCCAGAGTATGGACCTTTTTGGCACAAGTAAAGATGGTGGGGGAACTCCGGTCTAAACTAAGGCTCCTGAGCTTCTAAAATGGTTCCTGGAAAAGTTCTTGCAGTGGATTTATGTTATTCGATTCTTTCATTTGACATTTTCTAGAGGCTTTGGGAGGCAATACTTTTCAAAATGTGTTTCCTTTTTCCCTTGTCCTTAGACACTGTGAAAGCTATTGTCATCGTGTCTTTTTTAACGCTTTGAGAAAACCAAATGGAATTCCCTCCACCTTTGGTGTTTTAGTGTAGTGCTATCTTTTTTGGAGGTAGATATCTTGTTAATATCCTGGCACATAAAACCAAAGCCATTGCCAGACACCTCCTATGGATACAAATGTGTTTACTATATTTGGGGCAACTGATCCATTAAACCCAGGTTTTTTTTCTCCTTCAGGTAACCTACAAACGAGATTTGGCTGCTGCAGAGTCCATTATCAAAGGTGAGTCACCTCCCGTCTTAATAACATAATGTCAGATAGATTAAATGGTCAGAAAATAGTTTTAGTCTCTTTTTGTTGAATGAACCAAATGACCCCCTTACTGTACGAGAGCAGTGCATTCTTCAAAGCATTGTTCAGCTTGGTTAAAACTTGTTGGGTATAAAGAGTCTGGGAATACTACAAACAGCAAGTCAGGACAAGGGATATTAACACAATCAGAGACAAGGAAATAAACACAGCCCCATATTTCACCCCCCCAGCACCTGGACCAACAGTTACCTGTTTGATGATGACATAAGGTGCCAGTGATAATTCCCAGGGCCTCTGATGTGAATGAATTCATTGTATGTTTTTTGGAAGAAAGTTCTCACATCTATCAGTATGAGAAACTGTTGTGTGTTTCATTTTGTGTGTCTTTGTGATTTTGTGGGCTGTATGTGAGTGCTTGTGCAGGCCTACACATGGCTGTATATCTTTTAAGAAGTGTGCTTATTTGAACACTTTTTAACTGATTTCTAAATGGATGGCTTTTTGAGTGAGGCAGGCCTTCTGGTCCTCAGTTTTTTGCAGCTCTGGCTGTTATATGTTATTGAGATTGTTCATTTATGTTCTGTTTAGTTACCATTAAGTTCTTATTTCACCATAAAGGTGCCATTTCTTTGCCCCCCTGGTTCTGGAAGTAAACGTTTTTCTCTGTTAATTGAAACAGTATAACATAGTTACAACTGTGTTGGAGAAGTGTTATTTCTGCATGTTCCAGGAGGTTTTGAGACAGTCTTTTGTATTTCTCTTGCAGATACTCTATCGCGGTCGGCGTGTGTTATCACAGGTGGTTCTGCACAAGCCGTCACACTGGCTGGTGCCCTCCAGAAAGCCGTTGGAGCTCTCAACATGGTAAGTGTTTGTCAGTCAAACCCAACTAAAAAAGCGGCTATTTTGATGACAGCATTACTGAAGATCAGTTTGCCATTTATATTTTCCTCAATCTCCCCGTCCCTGTACCTCCAATCCCCCACAAACTGAATGTGAGCTCCACTTGGGTGGGCCCGATGGTGAGACATGCCACCATCTGCGGTCCAACCTCTGATGGAGCTTGTCTGGGACATACACTGTCTGCAGCTTTCCTCCTCTTCATCTGCATCCTCCATCCCAACCTCCTCTTCTCACTCCCCTGCATGCAGCAGAGCAGATGGCGTTCATATTTCCTCTACAGTGGGAGTTTGCTTGATTAATAAAGTGTTTAGTGATGAGTTCTTACCTCCTCTTCCTCCTCCGTCTCCTCATCATCATTCAACCACTTCTGCTCAGTCAGACTTGACAAGCTTCCAGTTTCGACCACAGATAATATCCCTCCCTTTCATTCCTAAGGTTTTTTTTGGGAGCATCACATTCCCATGTTGCAAACATCCTCCTTTTAATTGGTAAAACTGTTCCCAATAGACAATGGAAAACAGTAAACATATGCAAAACAGTGAAGAGTGACAGTCTGCTATATTAGATCGGACAGTACAGACCGCACAGAGGTTCCACATGTAGAATGCTCTCCTTTACCACAACAACAATTGGGTTTCCCTTGAGCTAGACACGTAACCATTAACTCAAGCAACCTTTCCTGCTCCTTTTTAAAGCTGGATGTCATAAACATGAGCTTTGTTAGCAAGCATGCTATGTTAGCAAAGTATATGGGATTAAAGGTTTGGTCCAAGTCAACATTTTGTTTATATAGCTCAATATCACATGTAACAAATTTGCCTTGAAGGAATCTAAAATCTGTAATGTATACAACCCCCTCAATAAATCACTTGGTGATACAAATGGAAACGTTAAGTAGTGTTTTTGGATCGATATAAATGCATATCAATTGAAAGATAATGCATTCCCCTTTTTAATTGAACTGTTTCATATACTTCGACATGAGTCTAGCACCAAACCTACGCCTTTAAGGGTTCTCTATTTCTTTTAAACAAAGTTACAGATGTTGTACAGGTGTTCATGTGTTCATACTTTATGTGTCTGTCCAGAGTAAATCACCTATACATGGCTTCATATATAGAAACGTGGTTCCTCGATCATCTTCATGAAAGTATATCAATATTCCCCCGGTATAGGTGTTGACAGTGGAAAGGAGAAGGCAGAGCACGCTGCATTATGTCTTTCCATGTTCCAAGGTGATCCAAACAGACCGTTCTCCTTTAAACTCGCTCCAAGTCCTTCATCTGCCGGTGTCAAATGGGCGGATCTGGCTGTCCCGCGCTGGCCTGGGCCCCAGAGACAGATTGGGGTCAGTGTCAGTCTCTGTGGATCGGCTGATTGGAGCCATTCCCCTCAGGTGGCCGGTGGGGATGTGTTTTTCTTCTGGTGCGCGTGCTTCGGAATCAGATACATCCTTTTCAGGGAGTTAAGAAGGGAAGAAGAATGGAGGGGGATATGAAAGCAAAGTTGAAGAAGCGGAAGATGAAGACTTACCTTTGTCCTGTGCCATTACGTGGATCTAATACAGGGATAAGGAATGTTGGGCCGTGCAGATAAAAACTGACAGTATAGTAGTGTGTGTGTCAGTGTTTCCGCCAGACCAGGGCTGAGAGGGCGTCCACGCCGAGAGCGGGGGGG